GCTCCGGGGGCAGTCCTGTGCCGGAGTGGGTAGGCACGGGGTGACTCTAGCCCAGGCCTCAGGGGAGGTCGAGGCTCGGCACGCGCTCAGCCCGCCCCGGGCTCGCCCCTCACCGCCGGGCGCTCCCTTAGGCTGCGTGGCTCCCTTGGCCGCGGCCTCGGCCGCTCCTGCGTCGCCAGCTCCTCACGTCCGCCTTGACTCCGAGTTTCAAATCCGCTTTGTCGCCCCCGCCCCGCCCGCCCTGAAGTTGTCCAGAACGCCACCACTCCGAGCGCCCAGGCGCAGAGTCCGCTTCTGCTGGGAGCGGGAATGCGGGTGCTCAGTTTCAGCCCGGCGCCCTGGTGGCCAGGCTCAGCTTTGGGAAGGGGCGTGGTGCGTGTTCAGGGTGGGCTCGGGCTAACTTGAATTTCCGCCCCAGGCGAAGGTCCAGGAGCCCGGACGCCAGCCGGTAAGCGGAGCCCCCGAGTCACGGTCCCTTTGACCATCGCTTCTCCAGCGCCGACTGGAAGGACGCCGGGTCTCGCGCTGATGGTTTTGAAGGTGCCTCCCCAGATGGATCCGGGGCTCCCAGTCACTGGCCTCTGGGTCACCGGCCCGGCTGCTTGGGCTTAGAGGCTGGACCGGGTCCAGCACAGGCGCACGGACAGCGGGGCTGTACGGCGCGGCGCCGGCGGGCTCCGACCTCCCGCCGGGCCCCGACGTTGCGCTGCATCAGTGGGCGCACCGGCTGGAGAGGGAGACGAGGGAGGTTGGAATGGGGGAACGAAAGAAGTTAGGCGCCCCCGCACCGCCCCCCGGCAGCCTCCCCGCCCTACCCCGGCAGAACGCCCTTGGCCTCTGGGTCCGCCGCCTCCACGTGTCGGCGTGCTCAGCGAGCCAGCCCCGGCTCCTGGAGAGCGCGCGGCTAGAAGACTGTGACTCCCGCCAGTTTCTTCTCCTCCCGGCTTGCGCTGCCCCCGAGCACGCCAGAGTTTTTGGGCGAATAGCGGCTTTGCGCTTTGACTCCCCTGGGGAGGGGACCAGTGTGCTCCCCTCGTCTTCTGCAGACCGCCCAGGGCCCCCTCCTCGAGACCCTCGCCCTTCAGGCGCGCTGGCGCCGCGCGGGCCGCGCTCTCACCTCCCAGGGAGCGACCCCTCTGCGCCGCTCCCTCGGGTCCTGTCCCCGGGCCGCTTCCTTCCTGCGGCCCTGCCCTGCCGAGCGCGCGGGGAGCTGAGGTCCGCGCTCGCTCTGCCTTCCCGGGTAGGCGAGCTGCGACGTTGCAACAGGTGGAGCCGCGCGGCTGCCAGCGGCGGCGACTCCACCCCGCTGCCCGCCTCCGGGCCGCGCGGGGCCGCCCCCTTCGCTAGTCTCCGCGGGCAGACGCCGGGACTTTGGCGTTCCCACCCCCGAAGCGCAGATCCGAGAGTGGGTGAAGACGCAGGTCGGTGCTTAACTGACCTGCATGGACCCTTGTGGGGCCGGAGAGGGCGCTCTGCCCCCTTCAGGCACATCTCGTCCCCACCCGTGTACACAGCCACACTCTGGAATCAGCCACTCAGGGGATGCGGGAGCGTGAGTATGGAGATGTGAACGGATGGATGCGTGGAATTTTCGACGTAAGCAGAATTTACCCGCGTCGAGAGAGTGCTGCTAGGCTCAGAGCTCCCCCCACGCCCTACTCACCAGGAGCAGAGACAGAAGGGCTGGCTGCCTGTCTAGTAAAACCGAAGGATTTCAAATAAACACGCAGCTCCGAATTCCAGTACATCTGCCACCACAAACCCTGAAGCTGCTAGTACTACTCTCGCCAAGCTATCCGCTCCCGAACGCCCCTCCTATCTAGCCCAGCACGAGTATACATCCAAGGTGAGTCCTGCAATTATTTTTTTCCATCTTATTACAAAAATTTTTCAAACATGCAGAGAAGTTGAAAGAATTTTATAATGGACAACAATAAATCTATCACCTAGATTCTACAATGAACATTTTACTATTCTTGCTTTATTACACATCTATCCATTCCTCTTTCCATCTATTAATCCGTCTTACTTGTTTGGATACATTTCAAAGTATATTGTAGACATTAATACAACCCCCCTTAAACTTCTATCTGCATATCATTACCCAGAGTTCAAGATTTATTTACCTATTTTTTTGGGTAAAATTGATATGCAATAAAATCCGTGTACAATTAAATGAGTTCTGACAAATGCACACACCTGTGCAAACCAACCACCTACCTATCCAACGTGTCAACCAAACATCACCAACAGGCCAGTTTCCTTATGTCCCTTCCCATTAAGTCCTACTCCACGTTCCTTCCAGGCAGCCACTGTTCTTCACTACCACCTAATAGTTTGCCTTTGTAGAACTTAGTTTTGCCTGTTATAGATCTTCATGTAAATGAAACCATACAACTATGTACTTTTGTGTTAAGCATGTTTTTGAGATTTATCCATGTTACGTGTCTCAATCACTTGTTCCTTTCCCATTGTTTGAAGTGTACTATAGTTTATTCATGCTCCTATTGATAGAAACTAGGACTGTTTGCAATTTGGGGCTCTCATAATGAATACTGTTAGGAACATTCGTGTACAAGTGTTTGCAGATATGTGTTTTCATATGTCTTGGGTAAATATCTGGGAGTGGAATTGCTGGTCACGGGTAGGTGTGTATGTAGTCTTATAAGAAACTGCGTGACTTTTTTCCAAAGTAGTTGTACCGACTAACAATGTATGCGAGTTCTGGCACCTCCTTGGAACTATTTGACACTATCAGTCGTTTTAATTTTAGTGGCGTCTCACTGTCATTTTGACTTACACTTTTCTGATGACTAATGTGCTTGGTTGGCCATTTTATAACTTCTTTTATGTCCAAATATTTTGTACATTAAAAAAAATTGGTTTCTTTTCTATTAGAGTTATAGGGATTCTTTTTATATTCAGAATACCAGTCTTTTTCTTTTTTCAGATATGTATTTTGCAAATATTTTCTCCCAGTCTCTGACTTGGCTATTTATTTTCTTAAAGATATCTTCTGATAGATAGAAGTTTTTAATTTTGGTGAAGCCCAATTTATCATCTTTTTCTTTTAGTTTTGGTATACTAAGAAATCATTACTTTCCCAAAGTTGCATAGATTTTACCATCCCCCCCCCCGAAGTTTTAAAGTTTAAGCTTTTATATTTGGGTGTATGATCCATTTATTACAATGAAATGTGCAAACACCTGGAGTTAGAAAACCAAAAGGGAAGAACAAGCTCAGCATTTCTCAAGCTGAAAGAACTGAAGAAAAAATTGCCCCGAGTGCAATATTAAAGGCTTCTATGGGCAAAATATTGAACAACACAGAAAGCATCAAAAGAAGCTGGAAGGAATACAGAGTCACTGTACCGAAAAGAACTGGCTGACATTCAACCATTTCAGGAGGTAGCATATGATCAAGAGTCAATAGTACTGAAGGAAGAAGTCTAAGCTGCACTGAAGGCATTGTCGAAAAACAAGGCTCCAGGAATTGACGGAATACCAATTGAGATGCTTCAACAAATGATGCAGCGCTGGAGGTGCTCACTTGTCTATGCCAAGAAATTTGGAAGACAGCTACCTGACAAACCGACTGGGAGAGATCCGTATTTGTGCCCATTCCAAAAAAAGGTGATCCGACAGAATGGGGAAATTATCTAACAATATCATTAATATCACACGCAAGTAAAATTCTGCCAAAGATCATTCAAAACCAGTTGCAGCAGTACATCAATAGGGAACTGCCAGAAATTCAAGCCAGATTCAGAAGACATGGAACAAGGGATATCATTGCTGATGTCAGATGGATACTGGCTGAAAGCAGACACTCATACCAGAAAGATGTTTACCTGTGTTTTATTGACTGTGCTAAGGCATTTGACTGTGTGGATCATAACAAATTATGAGTAACATTTTGAAGAATGGGAATTCCAGAACACTTAATTGTGCTCATGAGGAACCTGTACATAGACTAAGAGGCAGTCGTTCCAACAGAACAAGGGGATACTTCGTGGTTTAAAGTCAGGAAAGGTGTGCGTCAGGGTTGTATCCTTTCACCATACTTATTCAGTCTGTATGATGAGCAAATAATTCGAGAAGCTGGACTATATGGAGAAGAATGTGGCATTAGGATTGGTGGAAGACTCATTAACAACCTGCGATATGCAGGTGACACAACCTTGCTTGCTGAAAAGTGAAGAGGACTTACTGATGAAGATCAAAGACCACAGCCTTCAGTATGGATTACACCTCAACATAAAGAAAACAAAAATCCTCACAACTGGACCAATAAGGAACATCATGATAAATGGAGAAAAGATTGAAGTTGTCAAGGATTTCATTTTACTGAGATCCACAATCAACACCCATGTAAGCAGCAGTCAGGAAATCAAATGACATATGGCATGGGGCAAATTGGCTGCAAATGACCTCATTCAAGTGTTAAAAAGCAAAGATGTCACTTTAAGGGCTAAAGTGCGCCTGACAGAAGCCATGATATTTTCAATCGCCTCATCTACGTGTGAAAACTAGACAATGAATAGGATGACTGAAGAAGAATAGGTGCTTTGAATTATAGTGTTGTTGAAGAATACCAAATATACCATGGACTGCCAGAAGAACAAACAAATCTGTCTTGGAAGAAGTACAGCCAGAATGCTCCTTGGAAGTGAGGATGGCGAGATTCCGTCTCACGTACTTTGGGCATGTTATCAGGTGGGATCAGTCCCTGGAGAAGGACATCATGCTTGGTAAAGTAGAGGGTCTGTGAAAAAGAGGAAGACCCTTGGTCAGATGGATTGACTCAGTGGCAGCAACAACGGGCTCAAACATAGCAACGATTGTGAGGATGGCACAAGACTGGGCAGTGTTCCGTTCTTTTGTATATAGGGTCGCTTGCTATGAGTTGGAATCAACTGGACAGCACCTAACAACAAGAAGAATGATCCATTTTGAGCTTATGTTTATGATGAGAGACAAGAGTTAAGGTTTATTTTGTCCATGTGAATATCCAGTTTTTTTTTTCTTCGTGTCATCCTTGCGCAGGGGCCGTGCTAATCTTCTCTGTATCGTTCCAATTTTAGTATATGTGCTGCCAAAGCGAGCACTGAATATCCAGTTTTTCAGTACCATTTGTTGAAAAGACTCTTTTCCACAGGGAAGTATCTTGGCACCTTTGCTGAAAATCAGCCATATATGATCAACCATATATGAGTGAGTTTATTTTAGGAATCTGTATTCTTTTCATTGATCTACTTGTCCACCCTTATGCTAATACCACACTATTTTGATGACGGTAGCTTTATAGTAGGTCTTGAAGTTAGGTTGTATGAGTTCTTCAAGTTTGCTCTTCTTTTTCAAGATTTCTTTAGATATTACAAGACCTTTACATTTCCATAAAAATTGTAGAATGAACTTGTTAATATAATCAAAAAAAGCCTTGTGGGATTTTGATTGTATGAAATCTATTTTGGGGAGAATTGAGATCGTAACAATTTGCAAATGAGATATAGCCTTCCATTTATCTCAGTCTTAGCAATGTTTTGTCATTTTCGTGTAGAGATCTTATAAATCGTTTGTAAACTCATTCAAAAGTACTTTTTATGCTATTGTAAATGGAAGGTTAAAATTTCACTTTCCACTTTACTGTAATATATAAAAATATAATTTATTTTTGCAATTTAACCTGTATCCTGCAATGCTGGTAAATTCATTATTTCTACTAGTTGTTTTGTTGATTTCTTTAGGAATTTTTAGGTAAACGGTCATGTCATCTGTAAATGTAGACCGTTTTACTTTTTCCTTTCAAATCTTTCTCTTTTACTTCCTTTTCTTACTGCAATGGTTAGGGCCTTTAGTACAGTATTGAATAGAAGGGTAGAAGGGTAAAAGCGGATATCCTTGTCTTGTGATCCTAGTGAAAAGTCTTCAGCTTTTCATTATTAAGTATGATGTTAGTGCTGGGTTTTTCTTAGATGCCCTTTATCAGGTTGAGAAAGTTTTTTTTTTTTTTTTCTAATTTTATGATTTTTTTTTTATCATGAATAGGTGCTAAATTTTGTCCAATGCTTTATCTTCTGCATCTACTGCAATGATGATATATGGTTTTCTCCTTTATGCTGTTTCTATGGTAAATTTCATTGATGGATCTTCTGATGTTAAGCCAACCTTGCATTTCTGAGATAAATTCCATAAACTCTATTTGAGGTTTCCACTTTCTATTATTTTCTTCTTTCTACTTCATACTGGGTTTGCTTTGCTTCTTTTTGTAGCTTCTTAAGGTGGAAGGTTAGATCACTTGATTTTAGACCTTCTTTTCTAATGGAGTCTTCGTGGCACAGTGGTTAAGCGCTCGGCTGCCCTATGGGGCAGTTCTATTCTGTCCTACAAGGTCGTTATGAGTCAGAACCAACTCAACAGCAATGGGTCTGGTTTCGGGTTTTTTCTAATGAAAGTATTTTAAAGCTATGAATTTCCTTGTTAGCATACCACAAACTTTAGTATGTTGTACTTTCATATCATTTAGTTCAAAATATTTTCTGTTTTCTTCGACACATGAATTACTTAGAAGTGTGTTGCTTAATTTCCAAATATCTGGTTTTTACCCTTGTACATATTATTTATTTCTAGCTTATTTCCAATGTGGTCAGAGAGCGATACTCGGTATAATTTCAATCTTCATAAATTTATTAAAACTTGTTTTATGGTCCAGTATATAGTCTACCTTGCATGCGAAAGCTGGACAATGAATAAGGAAGACCAAATAAGAATTGACGCCTTTGAATTATGGTGTTGGTGAAGAATACTGACTATACCATAGACTGCCAAAAGAACGAACAAATCTGTCTTGGAAGAAATACAACCAGAATGCTCCTTAGAAGCAAGGATGGCAAAACTTCATCTCATGTACTTTGGACATGGGATCAGTCTCTGGAGAAAGACATCATGCTTGGTAAAGTAGAGGGTCAGCAAAATAGAGAAAGACCCTCAATGAGATGTATTGACACAGTGGCTGCAACAATGGGCTCAAGCATAACAACAATCATGAGAATGGCGCAGGACCAGGCCATATTTTGTTCTTTTGTATATAGGGTCACTATGAGTCAGAACCAACTTGATGGCACCTAACAACAACAACAACAATGTATTATCTACCTTAGTGAATGTACTATGTGCCCTTGAAAACAATGTGTATTGTGTAGTAGTTGGGTTTAGTGTTCTATAAATATCAATTAGGTCAAGGTAATTGAAAGTGTCATTTCTTTCTTTAAATGTCTTCACTGACGTTTGTCTAGTTAGTTTACCAATTGGTGAGAAGAGTATTAAAGTCAACTATGATTCTAGAATTGTCTATTTCTCCTTCAGTTATGTCAGTTTTTTTTTTTCATGTACTTTGAAACTCTGTCATTGGGTAAATGTACATATATGATTATATCTTCCTAACATACTGACCCTTTTATCATTATGAAATGTCCCACTTCATCTCTGGTAATTCTCTTTGTCTTGAAGTCTACTTCATCCGATATTACTCTAGTCACCACAGTCATCTTTTGCTTAACGTTTGCATGGTATCTTTTCCTATCCATTTACTCTTAACCTATCTATTTATATATTTAGTGTTTTGTCACAGACAGCATATAGTTAGGTCTTGTCTCCTGCCACCTCCCAATTCTAACAATCTCCAGGTTGTAATTGAAGTGATTGGACCAACACTGTACAAAAGAACTTCTGCAATGATGAAAATATTCTATTTCTTCTTGCCAAATATGAGCTAATATTCTAATATGGTGGTTATTACTGAACACTTGAAATGTGGCTAGTGCAACCAAGGAACTGAATTTCTTATTTGATTTAGTTTTAATTAATTTAAATACCTAATGTGGCTAGTGGCTACCATCTTAGTATAGGTTGAAACCATTTCCATTTAATGTATTTATAGGACTAGATTTAGGTCTCTCATTTTACTATAGGTTTGTCCCAACTGTCTCCCAACCCCCTTTCTTCTTTCCTGTCTTCTGGATTAACTATTTTAACAACTCTATCTATAAGATTTTTAGCTCTCTTTTAAGTGGTTGTTCTAGAGATTACAATATTAGTCGTTAATTTTTCAGTCTGATCAGAGTTAACATTGTATCACTTTATGTAAAATACAGAAACCTTGCAATTGCATAGGTTCATTCCTTGTCCCATACTATTGTGGTAGGTTGTCATGCAAATTAGACATACATATGCTAAAACCCCACAACACAATTTTTTAGTGTTTATTTTGAACAGTCTGGAATTTAGCATCCGAAGCCGTCTAAATTCATGAGGTGGGAGGAGACTCACCACCAAAAAGCTGATTCCTATGAGGTGGAGGTCAGACATACCTCCACTCTCCCAACGTTTCACCATTTCTGACATCAGCCATCCTCCATGACACTCTCTACTTTTCTGCTGAGCTCAATAATTCATTGCAATGGCCACATAGAACTTACAGACCATAACTCACAATTATGGGGTTTATTAGGTAAATAACAGGTTACAGCTTGGAATCAGGATCAACTTGGAAGTAACAGGATACAAGTCAGGAGATAGGATACAGTTTGTCATCAGGACGCCTTCCAACCAGGACAGCTCTCAGCTTCTCCTTGGCTGTGCCCACCTCTGGGCCTTCTCTCGGCCTGTGCCCTTCTCGGGCAAGTGTAACAGCTCTTTAGCTCCCCTGACAAGTGTCCAGAGGTACCCCACTCTGCTAGCAAGCCTCCTGTCTGAAGGCGCACAGCTCTTTCCTGCTCTGTGGGTTGGCAAGGTCATACTGCAGCCTCCTTGCGCCGGTCTCCTGGTTCCTGCCACTCGTACTGCTGCTGCCATTTCTGTCGCTGGGCTCTGCTGTGGTTGCCCATTTCTTGCCATCTACAGTTTTACAGCTCTCTCTCTCCTGTGTCTAGGAGGTTCTCAGCACAGGGACCCCAGGTCCAAAGGACATGCTCCACTCCAGGCTCTTTTGGATGGTAGTGAGGTCCTCCTCAACTTTTGTGAGATTGGCCCTTATGTAAGCCTACTTCTTGTCAATTTCAAGTCATGGTCCTCCCACCAGGGTCACAAATTGACCAATCCCCTTGCTAGGCACAGTCACTTAATTTGCATAGTAATAGACCAATTCTTGCAAGGTAACTTAATCCTGTTAGGTGGTTTTACGTACCCTATTTGCTTAGTAGACTAAACAATCCCTGCAAGGCTGTGGGCCAGCCAATCATCTTTGGCAGAATTATAAACCCAAGGCCAGAAAGGCCATATATAAGAGATACCCATTGTACTGCATAGTCATACATATTTTAAAGGAGAGAAAGAAGTTGTCTTTTATATTTACCCCGATATTTACCATTTCTGATGGTTTTTATTCTTTCTTGAAGGTGAGTTTCCCTTTGGTATCGTCTCCCTTCAGCCTGAAGAACTTCCTTTGGCATTTCTTGTAGTGCAGGTATTCTTGTGACAACAATTCTCTTAGTTGTCCTTTATCTGAAGATGTGGTTATTTTATCTTCATTCTTGAAGGATATTTTCACTGCATGTAGGTTTCTGGAGTAATTTCTTTTTCTTTCAGCACTTTAAAGATGTTGTCGGATGATCTTCTGGCCTCCATTGTTTCTGATGACAGGTCAGTGATCATTCAAATCATTGCTCCCCAGTTTCCTCTAGATGCTTTCAAGATTTTCTTTTTATGTTTGCTTTCCAGTAGTTTGACTATCATGTGCCTAGGTGGGGTTGTCCTCATATTAATCCTGCATATTATTCATTGAACTTCTTGAATCTGTAAATTTATGTGTCATTAAATTTGGGAAAATATCAGCCATTATACCTTCAAATATTTTCTCTGTTCCACACCATCTCTTCTTCTGGGACTTCAGTTTCATATAAATTAAACTTTTTGAAATTATCCCACAGGTTCCTAATTCCTTTTCATTTTCCCCCCATCTTTTCTTTCTGTGGATAATTTCTGTTATTTTATCTCCAAGTTCCCTGACTCCTTTGTCATCTCCATTCTGCTATTAAGCCCACCCAGTGGACCTTTTAATTTCAAATATTGTATTTTTGGTTCTAAAGTTTCCATTTAGTTCTTTTAAAAT